TTTTACAGTGATTTCTAGAGTAGAAGACTGTTTAACAAAACATGTATGGCTATATTTTCATATTTTCACAGCTGGATAAGATCTGATGTACCTGTTTTCTGCAGACTGCTCTTTCCATACTGCACATACTTCTTCAGCCACTCGATGCACTCAGTGCTGAAGTAATTTCTGTTAATCTCAATCAAGCCTTTGTCATTGTTCCACTTCTGTACACTGGGGATTGCTTGCTGCACTGGAGAAATATATCTCAGCTCCTTAAAATCCAGAGACACAAAGTCCTCTCCATCATATCCAAACTGTTTGAATGCATTTGTTGCTCCAGTCTGATCATCCCACTCACAGCCGTACATTTCCTGGTATGTGTGCACACCTGAAGAAGAGAGAGATTGAATGTATGAATTATCAATTAATACAGTCAGAATAAAACCATCAGTCAGTCAGAAACATGTTTGACTCAGAATCAAATAAATCTGACTGACGTTATTTTAGTTTTTTGGCCTCCATTCTAAATTTTAATAATAATTTAGTAATATTTGAGTTGTGAGTTTACTGACTAAATGTATTATGATAAGAGAACAAGAACAGGTGCTGAGAAAGAAAAGACAATAAACAGACAACATGATTTCTATTGTGACATCTACACCGGTTACACAGAAGAGCACACACAAATCAAACTGTACTGTACTGTGTTAATGATCAGTCTGACTTAACCACTCCCTCACTGACTGAATGTGTCTGAGCAGCTGGTGACTTATTTACTGCATCAGATCTGTGTCTTAGAACCAGAATTGTTCAGTTTCATTTAATTGTGAAAAAATAAACAGCAACAAAATTGTGACTAAACCACTGAACCACAATAGATATAACACAGTGAACCAAACAGAAGCAGAACAAGACAACACAGACAGCAGCAAATATCAGACCATCAGTGACATGAATGAGTGTTCATTTGATCATCGATGAGGTGACAAACAATCACTGAACACTACTAAAGAAAGCAGCTTTACGTTAAAGTGCTTTTAAAAGCTCAGTTTCAACACCTAAAATGTAACTTTTTTATTTTCAGTAAAATCAATGTAATATATTTTTGTTCAATAATATTTTTTCTTTTATATTTTGAGAGAATTTCATGGCACTAATTAATATTTATGCTATAATTATGTTCAATTTTTTTCCCACCAAAAATAATATTTTTTTCCTAATATTTTCATCTCATCTAAAGCATCTCTGCTCACACATTTTTATTTTCAGTAAAATCAGTGTAATATATTTTTGTTCAACAATATTTTTTGTTTTTTATTTTGCTTTTTGAGAGAATTTCATGGTACTAATTAATATTTACGCCAAAATAATGATACATTTTTTTCCCATCGAAAATAACAAATTTTTTTCTAATATTTTCATCTCATCTAAAGCATCTCTGCTCACACATTTTTATTTTCAGTAAAATCAGTGTAATATATTTTTGTTCAACAATATTTTTTGTTTTTTATTTTGCTTTTTGAGAGAATTTCATGGTACTAATTAATATTTACGCCAAAATAATGATACATTTTTTTCCCATCGAAAATAACAAATTTTTTTCTAATATTTTCATCTCATCTAAAGCATCTCTGCTCACACATTTTTATTTTCAGTAAAATCAGTGTAATATATTTTTGTTCAACAATATTTTTTGTTTTTTATTTTGCTTTTTGAGAGAATTTCATGGTACTAATTAATATTTACGCCAAAATAATGATACATTTTTTTCCCATCGAAAATAACAAATTTTTTTCTAATATTTTCATCTCATCTAAAGCATCTCTGCTCACACATTTTTATTTTCAGTCAAATCAAAGTAATATATTTTTGTTCAATAATATTTTGTCTTTTTTATTTTGTATTTTGAGAGAATTTCATGGCTCTAATGAATATTTACACAATAATTATGATCACTTTTTTCCCATCGAAAATAATAATAAAAAGTCTAATATGTTCATCTCGTCTGAAGCAGAGCTGTTCACACGTTTCACTTCTTCTTCTCTGTTTCTGAAGCAGAAGCGGTTCATTTCTCACAGAAGAAGAACCAGATTAAAAACACAGTCAAGACTAACTTTTTGTCGGTTGAGAATCAGTTAAAAAAGCCTGGAATTTGAAGCAGTTTTAAATTTAAATCACTTTTAAAAGCTTGAAGCTTGAACTCCTGAAATTGTATTATTTTTTTATTTTCAGTCAAATCAAAGTAATATATTTTTGTTCAATAATATTTTGTCTTTTTTATTTTGTATTTTGAGAGAATTTCATGGCTCTAATGAATATTTACACAATAATTATGATCACTTTTTTCCCATCGAAAATAATAATAAAAAGTCTAATATGTTCATCTCGTCTGAAGCAGAGCTGTTCACACGTTTCACTTCTTCTTCTCTGTTTCTGAAGCAGAAGCGGTTCATTTCTCACAGAAGAAGAACCAGATTAAAAACACAGTCAAGACTAACTTTTTGTCGGTTGAGAATCAGTTAAAAAAGCCTGGAATTTGAAGCAGTTTTAAATTTAAATCACTTTTAAAAGCTTGAAGCTTGAACTCCTGAAATTGTATTATTTTTTTATTTTCAGTCAAATCAAAGTAATATATTTTTGTTCCATAATATTTTTTCTTTTATATTTTGTATTTTGAGAGAATTTCATGGCTCTAATTAATATTTATGCAATAATTATGATCAATTTTTTTCCCATCGAAAAAACAAAACGCATTTATCTCATTTTAAATTTAGTTTTAAATTTAAATCGCTTTTAAAAGCTTGACGTTTGAACTCCTGAAATATAACTTTGTTTTATGTTCAGCAAAATCAATGTAATATATTTTTGTTTGATAATATTTTGTCTTTTTTCTTTTGTATTTTGAAAGAATTTCATGGCTCTAATTAATATTTATGCATTAATTATGATCACTTTTGTTATGATCACAAAGCCACACGTCTTTGTTGACGCGCACGAAGGAATTATTCGGTAAAAGTGTTTCCGTCGTAGTTTATGCGAATGCTTTCTAACCGGATAAGAATTTATTGAGTGCATAAGTTTATGCGCATCTTGGCGTTTCCATCCAGCGGTTATATTTTTATGCGATATCCCAAAACGCACATAGAAATGGGTGGATGGAAACATATAAAGCACGGTTTTCTCGTCCGCAGACAGCAGCATCTCTAACGTGAGCATGATATTAAAATCAACCCCAGACTGCATCTGACTGATCTCAGAGCAAAACTAGACGACGCTCATCAGGATCGGCGCTGACGCTGCTCTGACAAAGCCTCGTCTGAAAGCTTCATCGTTTAGAAAGCTGCTAGCGCTGCGCTCAGAGACACAGACGTGTGCGTGTTCACATCTGAATGTGTTCACAGTCGAGTTTCAGCTGCAGTTTGAACAGATTCGGCCGTTTCCACGTTCTGTCAGTTAGAAAAGATGAAATAATAAACTAATTCATCAGCTTAAAGCCCCGTTCACACCGAGAGCGCTAGCTATAAAGATCAGGATATCAGCGTCCGCAGCAGCGACGATATATCGTGTGTTTATTGTAAGCGCGCGCGCGTCTGTCGCTTTAAATCCTCCAGCTCGTGACAGCAGGGTGGATTCTGATTGGCTGTCAGAGTTTTATTCTTCATCAGCTGGAGAAAAGCGTTTTGAAAGCGATCACGATATCGTTCCTCTGTGCCGTTACCGTTATAGTTGTGCTGTGGACTCGGCTGTTCTTTAATATCGAGAAGGACTTTTAGAAGTATATCGTTATGGTTATCGTGCTCGGTGTGAACGCGGCTTAAGTGGGGAAAATCACAGCTATGGCTTCTTGATTGGTTCTTGATTTGATTTGAAATGAAAGGATATTTGAACGGATCCGTCTGTGTTTCTGTCTCTCTTCACTGGCTTCAGTGTGTCTCTGAGACTCGGAGCTTCTCGTTACAGCTCATTCTTCATCACAAACACTGAAAGTCCAGCTGAAAGCCCAGCTCAGACCTGGGTTTATAGCGGCTGCTCGTCTGTGTGGGCTAGGCCGGGTTCATGAAATGATCTCTGAGTCACAGCAGTGTTGTGTTCTCTGGAGCTCGTGAAGTAATGAAGACCTCGTGAAAGTCTAGCTTTAGACTGGTTTATGTGGGTTAGCGCTGGTCTGGTGCTGCTTTAGCTGCTAATTCAGGGAGTTAAGAACCGGTTCGTTTCTTACAAAAGAAGAAGGAGATTCAACAGATTGTCGAGATTAACTTTGTTGCTCGAGAAGCAGTTTTAAAAGCCTGAAGTCTGAAGTAGTTTTACATTTGAATCGCCTTTAAAAGCTTGAAGTTTGAACTCCTGAAACGTAGCTTTGTTTTATTTTCAGCAAAATCAATGCAATATATTTTAGTTTGATAATATTTTTTCTTTTTTAATTTTGTATTTTGAGAGAATTTCATGGCTCTAATTAATATTTACACAATAATTATGATCGCTTTTTTTCCCATCGAAAATAATTTTTTTTCCTAATATTTTTTCATCTCATCTAAAGCATCTCTGCTCACACATTTTTATTTTCAGTCAAATCAGTGTAATATATTTTTGTTCAATAATATTTTTTAGTTTTTTATTTTGCTTTTTGAGAGAATTTCATGATACTAATTAATATTTATGCCAAAATAATGATACATTTTTTCCCATCGGAAATAATACTTTTTTTTCTAATATGTTCCTCTCGTCTAAAGCAGCTGTTCACACATTTCACTTCTTCTCCTCTGTTTCTGAAGCAGAACCAGTTAATTTCTTACAAAAGAAGAACTAGATTCAAAAGATTGTCAAGACTAACTTTCAGTTTCTTAAGAATCAGTTTAAAAAGCCTGAAGTTTGAAGTAGTTTTACATTTGAATCGCTTTTAAAAGCTTGAAGTTTCAACACCTGAAATTTAACTTTTTTTTTATTTTCAGTCAAATCAATGTAATATATTTCTATTCAATAATATTTTTTTCTTTTTTATTATGTAGTTTGAGAGAATTTCATGGCTCTAATGAATATTTATGCAATAATGATGATAAATTTTTTCACATCGAAAATATAATAATAATAATAAAACAATTATACTATTTTCATCTCATCTGAAGCAGATCTGTTCACACATTTCACTTCTTCTCCTCTGTTTCTGAAGCAGAACCGGTTCATTTCTCACAGAAGAAGAACGAGATTAAAAATATTGTCAAGATAAACGTTATGTTTCTTGAGAAAGCCGTTTAAAAAACGTGAAGTTTGAAGTCGTTTTAAATTTTAATTGCTTTTAAAAGTTTGAAGTTTGAACACCTGAAATTTTATTATATTTTTATTTTCAGTAAAATCAATGTAACATATTTTTGTTTCATAATATTTTTTCTTTTTTAGTTTTGTATTTTGAGATAATTTCATGGTACTAATTAATATTTATGCCAAAATAATTATCACTTTTTATCCCATCGAAAATAATATATTTTTTTTCTAATATTTTCATCTCAACTACAGCATCTCTGCTCACATATTTTTATTTTCAGTCAAATCAGTATAATATATTTTAGTTCAATAATATTTTTTTCGTTTTTATTTTGTTATATAAGGCATGAACTCCAGGGCTGAAAACGAGTCCCACTCTGGCCCTGAATGTCATGTAGCTTTTAAGTTGCTAAACTATTTTACTGATAAAATTGTCAGAGTAGTGCTAACAATGTTAGCGCATGTGTGTTTCCGTGTGTGCAAGTATCTGGAGTACATCTGGATTATTTGGAAGGTGTTGTTGTGAACAAACATCATGCGGTCAAAGGAGCTCTCCATTAAGTGAAACAGACAATTGTTAGACAAAACAAATCCATCAGAGAGATAGCAGGAACATTCAGAGTGGCCAAATCAACAGTTTGGTACATTCTGAGAAAAAAAAAGAACACACAGGTGAGCTCAGCAACATAAAAAGGCCTGGACGTCCACGGAGGACAACAGTGATGAGATGATCAGAGAGACATCCAGCCAAGAGAAGAACACTCTCCAGGAGGTAGGTGTGTCGCTGTCAAAGTCTACAATCAAGAGAAGACTTCACAAGAGCAAATACAGAGGCTTCACCACAAGGTACAAACAAGGCCAGATTAGACTTTGCCAAAAAACATCTAAAAAACCTAGACCACTTCTGGAAAAGCATTCTTTGGACGTCTGAAATTAAGATCAACCTGTACCAGAATGACAGGGGGAAAAAAGTATGAAGAAGGCTTGGAACAGCTCATGATCCAAAGCATACATCATCTGTCAAACATGGTGGAGCAGTGTGATGGCAGGAGCATGATGGCTTCCAGTGGAACTGAGTTACTGGTGTTTATTGATGATGATGACCGAGGACAGAAGCAGCCGGATGAATTGAGAAGTGTATAGGGATATACTCTCTGCCCAGATTCAGTCAAATGGAGCTAAGTTGATTGGGTGGCGCTGCATAGTACAAATGAACGATGACCCAAAACATACAGCAAAAACAACCCAGGAGTTTTTGAAGGTAAAAAAGGGGATTTTTCTGCCATGGCAAAGTCAATCTCCTGATCTCAACTCGACTGAGCTGCATTTCACTTTCTGAAGACAAAACTAAAAGCAGAAAGACCCACAAACAAACAACAACTGAAGTCAGCTGCAGTAAAGGCCTGGCAAAGCATCACAAAGAAGAAACCCAGTCTCTGGTGAAGTCCATGAGGTCCAGCAAAAGATTCTCATCAAAATATTATATATTTTTTTACTTTTTATTAATGATTATATTTATTTGTCCAATTACATCTGAGCCCCTAAAAAAGGGGAGACTGTGTATAAAAATAATCCTAAGCGTTTTTTGTTATATTTTTGTTCAACCCCTTGAATTAAAGCTTAAAGTCTACACTTCAATTTCATCTAGATCTTTTAATTTTAATTTTATTCTGGTGTCATACAGAGCCAAAATTATGAAAAGTGTTTCAGTATTCAAATATATATGGACCTAACTGTAATTGTTCATGGGTGGTAAAGTGATTAAAGTAAATGTATGTATCAGGGTAAAGCGTCTGCTTGGTTGTGCATAATAATGAAAAGGACTAGTAAAACTGTTTTTCTTCTCAAACTTTTCAGGTCAAGCATAACCAGGTATCACCACCTAGTTACCACCGATGTTCGCTCTAAAAAAACACCATTGAGAAAATAGAAATGTCTTTGGATGCAAGAAAAAGGACTGTGAACAACATACTGTACACATAATGTTATACTGTTGTTTGAATATCAGTATTCCTATACAGTTCATATAAATCATGCTGCTGCAAGAGCCTTATGAGTCTGTTAGCAGGCCCTTGGCAAATTGCTTTCAGGAAATCAAGTTCACAGACATTAAGAGAAATCAGAATAACATAACAAATGTGTAAACATGCAAGATAATAGTTAATTTGAGAATTTATGGGGACTCAAATGAGAATCTTACCTTGTGTTTGGTTAAAACGTTCCATTACGGTATTTATGTTGGTTTTGAACACCTGATGCATATTTGATCGAATTTGTGTGTTTCTTTGCCAGAACTGTTCATCCACAGCTCCTCTAACCCAGTCTTGTCTGGGAATAACTTCTTTAATCTCAGAATCATAGTAGTTGACCTGTGTCCCATCAACCATTGTTGCAGCCACGAATTCTGGAAAACCTGGCATCCCCTTAGTTGCTGTGTAGATAACAGTGTGGAAATGCTTGCCTGAAATTTAAGCAATAAATAAATACTAAATAAATCATAAATGTTCCATATATATTTCTTCCTGAAGCACAAATGTTAACTAACACTGGAAGTTAAAACTAACACTTTAGTTGGACTTAAAAAGTTGTCCAACAATTTGTGATGCTTAATTGTAAACATCTACTCTGTATTATTTGTATACTATACATTTATTACTCAGAAACCCAAGTTAAGATCAATTAGTTTCACATCAAATTCAAGCAAAAGAAGTTTGTGAGGTGTCAATTTTCAATAAATTTCAGTAAATCTTGTCAATACAACTGACATTTTTTAGACCAAACCTAGGAATTGACTTCATAAATTGATATTGCTTCCCTAAAATAGTTTTGTTTGAACATTATGGTGATCATTGTTCCCTTGGTTGTGCACTTGGAACTTCTTTTATTAGTTTTCATTCTATCAGTGAAAAAGTTTTAAAATAAATCACAGTTATTTGTGCTTTCAAAGACAAATAAATTAAATAAATCATCAACCAATCCACATTTGATATGGTGATAAAGTTATGATAAATTAAAGCTGTTCTGCTAGCTCCTTTATAATACACCTCATACTATTGTGAAACATCAAGCTATTAATGGGTTTAATATAATCCGCCCAATTATAATAATATCTTACAAGTGACATTAATTGTGTCACACAAAGACATCAACAATTAGCATGCTGAACTTACTTTTAATAAGACTTTGAACATTACAAAACAATCATTTGCTTTCTATGTTTTGTTAATACGGACAACAAAGACAGCACACAAAATTGTAAAATAAAACCAAAAAATAGTCCAACAAAACAAGTAACTTATAAATACCACAATGCACTCTGAGAGTTAGCATTGGGACTGCCAGTCATTTAGGGACTGAACCCCTAATGCAGCATTGTACTTGTGGCTGAAAATAAGTCAAGAATAAAGTTTTTGGTAACGGAGACTTAAAGTTTAACTAGTTTGAATTTACGTAGCTTTACGTTGTTCTGTAATTAAAATATAATTAGCTTAAGTTACCAACATAAAGTGACCACACCATTTTTGTTTTGTTTTGTTTAAGTCATTTTTAATTGTCTGTGTAATTCTGATATTTCAGGTAAACGTAACTTAATTTTTTCAGTTAGACATTAGGTTTCATTTTTAAAGGCAAGAGGTTTCCTTACTTTTTTAAGTCAACTAATAAGTTTTTACAGTGTGTAAAGGGAAATGATACAAGCATGTATTTCTGACAATACATTCAGTCTGAGCAACCATAAGCACAAAGCACAAAAGATGCAATGAAACAAAAACATTGTATGAAAAGAAACATTTTGCTATCTAGACAGCAGGGATCATGCATGTATGCACAAGTTATTAAAAATATTAGGGAAATATTTACTTTGTAACAGGCTAACAATGTATATTTTTTTTCTATAAAAGGTTAATATGAATATACTACATAATATTAGAATATAACAGAAACATTTTAATTAAATTCAAATATATTTGTATGGTGTTTTATTTTTTTTTACAAAAAGTATCGAATCAAAGCAGCTTTACAGAATTGGTGCGATGAAAAAGTCCCTACAACATGTACTAGCTATGTACAAACATATGCAAAACTATATGTCGATTTAGTTTTTATTTATATACATTTTAATATTTTCAAGCCCCCCTTGTGGCCACATTAGTAATTTATTGGGGGAAAAGGTAGTAGGGTAGTACCGTATGTGCAATGCAGGTTTAATTTTTGACACCAAACAGAATCATGATTTATACTGTGAATTAACGCAAACAGTACACTCATAGAAACACTCATCTGATGAACACCCGACCCGACCATAACATTTCTTTTATAATGATTTTTTTTTTCTCGGTACGTGATTGCATTAATTTCAATTTAACCCAGTATTTGCAAGAAGGCCGCTCAGATTTAACTGAACACCACATTATTTCCAGGCCACGCATGAATAGGCTACGTAGCGTACATCAAAAAGCCATTTTCATACATTCATTAATTATTTACTGTGATGCCAATACAGTCCAATAAAACAAATACAATGGTTTAGAATATAGGGCATTTAATGTAGTATTTATACGCCTATTTCCTGACATTTAAAGAGTTTAGCAAATAGGTCGTCATCGGTCTCTGGGTAGAAAAACGCTTCTTAGGTCAGAAATGAAACTGACCTAATACAACAGACTAGCACGCTCTAGTCTAGAATATGCTTTAGGCCTACATTTTCAAACTCAAACCAACAAACAAATATAACTGTTATTTGCCTACACTGCAATTCCTTTTCTCCATTTTCGCAATACGGTTATTCTTTAACATTGTTTATTATTATTATTATTATTATTACTTTTATTATTATGGTTAAGTAGGCTACATTTTGTAAACTGTAATTTAATCAAAATATAATGTCATAGACAATCTTTTTTTTCAAGATACGTTCAAAGTAGTAGGCCTATGATTTTTAGGATAAAGCCTATAAATGCGTCAAAAGCATAGGCAGTATAAACCCTGCATGTATAAAATACGTCAATATACACATTTCTGAAAAAGTGTTTTTTGAAACTTTGATTCATATAGGCTGTTCAATAGGTCCGTTTAAGTCTAACAGAAGAACTCTTAAAAAGCAATCATACAACAACTGGTAGGCTATACTCAAATTAAACTAATCTTCTTACCAGCATAGGCAAGATGAGCTCCAAGTAGCAAAAACAGTATGGGCCACATCCTTGCGCTTGCCTCCTTTCAGAAAAATATCTCCGTAAAAATATTACTTAATGTGTACCAGACACCTCAGTTGTCTCCTGTGAACTGGTGAAATCGTTCTGCTCACGCCTTATAAATAATCTCTAAAATTCCAGCCAATCGTTATTCTGTACATGTTCAACGTCACGAGTTACTAAGAGATATTTCCTTTACTAGGTTGATCACGAAAGTGAAGACAAAATAGTCATTAAGTGAATATAAAATAATGTGAGACAAATGCCTGTGGTAAAAGAGAATATTTTCTCATTCCACTGGTTATTTGTATTCGACTTAGGCTAAATGAATGCATTTAATATTTTTTTTATATTGCTAATCAAAAGTCAGCTTTATTTGATTTACCCTATAGTTATAGTTGAAGAGTGGACTTACACATGCCCCAATAAATTCTTATCCCATGTTTTATGTATTTGTTAAATCATTTTTCAAAGTTGTTGTTGCTTTAGAATAAAGTTAATTTTTTTACATTTTGAAATAAAATGTTTAAAATGAAATAGGGTGAATTTGAGGGAAGGTGATGGGGTAAGTATAAAAATTATTTTAAACAATAATTGTATTTATTTTTTAATAATTCATTTGATTAACAAAGTAAATGCATGTACAAAATTTTAAAGTGATGCATGATTGCATGATTTCCAATAGCATGACAAACCATCTGTTTTGAGAGTGGGTGCACTGTATTAGTTCGCATTATATTTGTAATATACACAGACCAATAAGTTATTCTTATTCTTCTTATTATTAATAACTTAATACAAACACACACTTATTATTAACAAATATATATTATTTTCATGCTGAATTATTCACTCTTAAACTATTTTTTTAAAATCAGTATACAATTAAATCCTGTATTATCATTAAATTACATATAGCCTAACTAATAACATAAAAACTGCTCAAACTGACTGGCTTTAAGTTTTATATTGAGAATAGCAGAAACTAAAAAAGTGACTTTAAAAAGAGGAATGCTACCACATAAGTGCTCTTCAAAGTTCAAGAGCAGGCTAGAAAATTCCATATATGTGCAACAGTAAACAACAGAACAACTCTTTTGTTAGCGGTAACCGTTTTATTAGAGTTGCAATCAATATTTTGTGATGGAGTGGAAATATGGTATACTAAAACTAAAGCTCTTATTAGGCCTAGTGACCAAATGAAGTGGTTACCAGGTTTTTTTTTTTGTCTCTATTTTGAAAGATAAAATGTTCTTTATTTACAAAATATTTAAGTTAATTAAGCCTTGATGAAGATATGATAGGCCTAGCTATGGATGAAGATAAACTGCAATTATGCAAATAAAAGAAGTAGGCTATACTGTGAATACATAAAGTTAGATAACGCAAAACTTCCAGTTTAAAGACGATTGTTCTCCAACCTGTAAGTTTTGCTAAGAAAGAGATCAAGGAAACATTCTTCGATGTGATCCTTCAACGAGCAAGTTTAGAGTATATATTTTTCAAACTAAAAAAACAAACTAATAAAGACATTCAAAAAATACATAATTATAAACCTACACAGGTTGTTACCGCACTACAAGAGACAATAAGCGAAGGAAAATCCCTGTGTCCTTAACTGCACTCGGTTCCGAGAAACCACGTGATATGGCAAAATGGGCAGTGTCATGGCCACTGTATGGCAGGTTTGGAATACCATTGTTGGCTCGGTGCGCCATCTACTGGAGATCAATATCTACTAGATAGAAAGACTAAATGCGCGTATTGGAGTTGATTTAGTGGTTTTAATGTATATTCTAAGAGGCTGAAAATATGATGGTACATAATTTTTGCCAAACGAAGACCGAGTATTTTCAAATGGCACAAAATGGTCCCGCAAAACATCCAGAATTAACGTAAAGCGCATGCGTCGTTAACAGAAGTGAAAGCAAAACACTAAAAGCTGTACTAACATCTCGGGGACACACGATGGATATTACAGCACAGTTAAACGCTTATTTTGAATATTTTAAAATACAACGCAACATCAGAGAGTTCAAACATATACAATATTTCTAACATCGCATGTACATTGTTTTTTTTCTGCATGCTGGTAATCGAGAGCGCTTTGTCTTTATTGTGTGTAACCTACGAACATAATTCTCATAATCTCTTATCCTGCAGCTTCCAGTTCTGGAGTGCTGGTTTGTTCAGGAGAAACCGGGTCATGGAGGGGGTTTCTCAGTACTGATGAGTCAAGAGAAATCTCTAATGTTCATCAGAACTGAAGCCTTCAGTGAAGAGAGCAGGTCTTCATCCTCCTGCAGACATCAGTCCATCCAGGATTTACTATGTGACCGGTCAGTGTCAGTGCAGCATGTGCTTTTTAAGACATTTGTGTTTCGTTTTTGTTATGGCTGAATAATTTTGAACTTTCTTCTCCTGCGTCATATTCTTCATGCAATTTGTTTGAGCCTATGGTTTGAGCTGCTCCCTCTGTCTGCAGGGACTGGCGCTCTCTCTGGCATCGGCAGGTCGCAGCGCCACTTCCGGTGGCATCCCCAGCTGCCACTGGCAGCTGCCACGGTCTTTCTAGCTGTTTCTACTGTTTGCTCGGTAAAACTACACTGTTCTCAGTGGCTTGCAGTGATGTTTTTTTTTAAATGACGATGCAAAGTTCCCACAATTGTATTATTATTATTATTATTATTATTATTATTATTATACATTTTTATGTATCAGCTGCCAGTTCTTGCCAGGAGTCACGATCGTTTGTCTACGGTGGCCGAGAGAGCTCAACGCGCTGCAACTTAAGAAAACACATGCAAATTGAAAAAACACCAGCAAATTAAGAAAACATCTTCATCAGTTTGACAACACACGCGCTGCAAATCCTCACAACACATGCAAATGAAGAAACACACCACATGCAAATGAAGAAACGCGCTGCAAATCCTCACAACACATGCAAATGAAGAAACA